GCAGCAGCAGCAGTAGCAGCAGCAGCAGCAGCAGGTTTGCGCTTGAGAAATCAGCTGTTGCTGCAGCAGCTTGCAGAGAACTTTATTGCAGCTTTCGGAAATGCTGGGGTTTACTGTTTAGGGCTTTCTATCATCCAGTGAACTTCGGCACTCTGGAATTAGGGTTTAGGGTTTAGGGTTTGGGGGTTTTCATTTCGTACCTGTTATGCAGCCCTTCAGGCGGCGGCAGCGGCGGAAATTTTACATGGGCGTACCTGAGCAGCACCACCACAGCAGCTAGCCAAACCAGCTAGCTAGCTAGCTAGCTACCTAGCTAGCTAGCTAGCTATTTATCTAGCAGGTCATTTAGCCAGCTAGCTAGCTAGCTAGCTAGCTAGCTATTTATCTAGCAGGTCATTTAGCCAGCTAGCTAGCTAGCTAGCTAGCTAGCTATTTATCTAGCAGGTCATTTAGCCAGCTAGCTAGCTAGCTAGCTAACTACTTAACTAGCGAGTCATTTAGCCAGCTAGCCAGCTAGCTAGCTACTTAACTAGCGAGTCGTATAACCAGCTAGCTAGCTATGTAGATAGCTAGCTACTTAACCGGCAAATCGTACAGCTAGCTAGCTAGCTACTTAGCCACACAGCCAGTAAGCTGGCAAGCTAGCTAGCTAGGTGCTTGACAAGCAAACCAGCTAGCTAGCTAGCTAGCTAGCAATTTAACTAGCGAGCCAGTTATTTGGTTACTTAGTTAGTCAGCTAGTCATTTAGTTAGTTAGCTAGCTAAATGGCCAACTTTTTGGCTGGCAAGCCAGCTAGCCAGCTAGCTAGCTAACTAACGAACTAGCTAGCCCAGCCATCAAACTAGCTAGCTCAATAGCTAGCTAGCGAGCTGGCAAGCGAGCCAGGTCAATAGTTCGATTGGAAGCTACTTAGCTAGCTAGCCAGCTAGCTAGCTCCCACATGGCTGGCTAGCTGGCTGGTAATGCCTTGGCCTCAGCCAGCTAGCCAGCTAGCTAGCCAACTGGGCATCTAGCCAGCCAACAAGCTTGCCAAGTACCTAGCTGTCTGGCCATCTAGCCAGCTAGCTAGGCAGCTAGATGGCTAGCTAGCTGTTCAGCCAGCTAGCAAGCACTTCAGTTAGTTGGCTAGCTAGCTAGCTATCTAGCTAGATAACCAGGTGGGTGTCTAGCCAGCTAGGTAAGTAGCTAGCTACCTAGACAATTGGCTGGGTGGCTAGCTAGCTCGATAATTAGCTAGCTAGCTATCTAGCTAGCTGGCCAGCTACGTAACCAGCTGGGTGGCTAGCTAGCTAGATAGTTGGCTAGCTAGCTAGCTAGCTGGCCAGCCAAAAATCAGCTGGGAGGCTAGCTAGCTAGACAGCTAAGTAAGTGGCTAGCTAGCAAAATAGTTGGCTAGCTAGCTAGCTAGCTAGCTAGCTGACCGGGGGCTGGCTTCGAGGGCCTTGAGCTGCTGGTCTGTGATAGGCCCCAACACGAGCTGGACTTTGTAAAGTTGGTCGATGTCATTATCTCCAGGAAAGAGCGGCTGCTGGTCAATCAGCTCCCCCATGATGCAGCCTGCGCAAACCCTAAACCCTAAACCCTAAACCCGCGACTGCGCCTGCAGTCCCGGCCGGCGGCCGCGGGAGGGTTTGCAGGCTGAAGGCCCCGCAGCGCTCAGGGGCCAGGCTGCGCGCTAGGGTTTAGGGTTTAGGGTTTAGGGTTTAGGGTTTAGGGTTTAGGGTTTGGGGCTTGCGGTGGGGGGGCAGGGGTTAGGGTTTAGGGTTTAGGGTTTGGTACCTGCGGCCCAGAGGTCAACTGCAGCAGAGTACTGCAAACCCCCAGTGAGCAGCTCGGGGGCTCTGTACCACCGAGTGGCCACATAACTAGTGAGAGCAGCAGCAACAGCTTCGAGGGAGCGGGCAAAGCCAAAGTCGCAGAGTTTGAGGGTGCGGGTTTGCCTGCAGGCGAGGGTTTAGGGTTTAGGGTTTAGGGTTTAGGGTTTAGGGCTGCGCTGGAAAGGCAAATGGGCCACATAACTAGTGAGAGCAGCAGCAACAGCTTCGAGGGAGCGGGCAAAGCCAAAGTCGCAGAGTTTGAGGGTGCGGGTTTGCCTGCAGGCGAGGGTTTAGGGTTTAGGGTTTAGGGTTTAGGGTTTAGGGCTGCGCTGGAAAGGCAAATGGGCCACATAACTAGTGAGAGCAGCAGCAACAGCTTCGAGGGAGCGGGCAAAGCCAAAGTCGCAGAGTTTGAGGGTGCGGGTTTGCCTGCAGGCGAGGGTTTAGGGTTTAGGGTTTAGGGTTTAGGGTTTAGGGCTGCGCTGGAAAGGCAAATGGGCCACATAACTAGTGAGAGCAGCAGCAACAGCTTCGAGGGAGCGGGCAAAGCCAAAGTCGCAGAGTTTGAGGGTGCGGGTTTGCCTGCAGGCGAGGGTTTAGGGTTTAGGGTTTAGGGTTTAGGGTTTAGGGCTGCGCTGGAAAGGCAAATGGGCCACATAACTAGTGAGAGCAGCAGCAACAG